TCCCCGGACAACCAGCGCCCGAGGGATACGTGACCCACCCGAATACCTACCCTCCAGCGGGCCCTCGTCCCGGCGCAGCATCGGGCGGTCTATACCCTCCCAATGTCGATCGCGGGTCAACGAGTTCTACCACATCGCCGAGTGTGCCCAACAGCCATACTCCACACACCAGCATATCTTCAATGCCCCTAAGTGCGGGGAGCGCATCATTGTACTCCCAGAGCGGCATGACTGAGAGTCCCAAGCCGCTGAGTCCGGCTCAGCAGCCGAACCAAGCCGGGGGCGCGCAACCGCAACAGCATGCCGCTTCCGGGCTGTCTCTACCTTCTCATGGTATGTCACAAGCGGCTCAGCAAGCCTGGATCTCCCAGTACCCCCCTGCTGACCGAAATGCTACCAAAGGCAACACTGCCGCCACCTCAGGCCCCTCCGCTCGTGGTCGAGCTTCGGCTGGGGTCGCAGCGGGCCAGGCCACCGCCAATGGTGTTGACAATGCCAACAACCTCTTCGCGGCTGGAGAACCAGGCGTGTGGGCTTATCTCCAGCACCTGGACGCTCAAGTCAAGGTCTTGTTGGCTGAAGTGGACCGAGGAAAAAGGACCGAAGCTCAGTTGATGGAAAAGTTCACGCAGCACGAACGGCTTGTGTCGGCACTCACAAACGAGGTTGCGGCGCTTCGAAACCAGCTTTCCGCCCCTGCAGAGCCGTCGCCGGCTTAGAGCAGGCCGGCTCCCGGCATAACACGAGAAAGCGATGACTTGACAGCCGAGTCGGAGTCCCTAGACGACGATCTTAGGGTGCGCCTTTCCCACTTACTGCTGTGACTTCACCATGTGTGTCTGTCTCGTCTTCTTCCTCGGAATGTTGCCCTGTTTCAGCAGGGGGCAAGGGTGTCGTCATCATCAAAACTTAACGGAATAGTCTATTTATTTGGGTGAAGGAAGGATCGGCGTTCTATTGGCGTGAGGCAAGACCGGGGCAGGACGGTCGGAGAAAAATGTGCGGTTGCCAGTGCTTGCTAACTCCTGTAACAGAACAGGAAAGACGGATGAAGGGATGGGTGGGCTTATGCGAACTGTCGTTTACCGTACTGGAACCCCTTGGCTTGCGAAAGGCCGGCCTAACAGTGTTTTCGTTGGATTCCCCTTTTTCGTTCATTCTCAGGGAATTATGTTTTCACAAGCAGCAAATCCTACCACATATACCACGAGATGGCAGCGTGTTGGTTCCAATTGAGGTAGTTAAAAGCACTTGATACTGCATGTAGCTGTTATGTACAATATCTGTAGCCTTGTTCAGATCACTTTGCCTCGTGGCAGCAAATAGGAGTCAGGTTCTCCTTGTTGGCTCTGGTACGAGCTGTGCTACCTCAGAATCACTACGCGGCGAAGAGGAAGTGCAGATTTGCATCCCTTGCTTACCCTCTGTAAGCGAACTAACCCAGAAGAATACATCGAAGCTTCCCTGTTTCGTGAACCCCGGGTCTCAATTGGACTTTCAACGCGATTCAGACTGCATTGAATGAAGAGTTTCTCGCAACGGTTGTTTGCAGATGTGATCCACTTTGCGAACCCCACATGCACATGCCAGCAGCACACGTCATAGTGCCGGACAAGCCGTTGAAGAAATGCGCATGGCTCGGCTGCATGCGGCTGCGCCGTTGACCCTTCTCGAGCCAACTGCGACGGACCTATCCCTGGACGGCGCAAGTTCGGGGAAAGAAAGCTTCCGTCATACCAACGCAACACCCGATACCGACCCTTCCATGTCCGGTTGACCATTGCAAGATGGGATCTCGTCTGATGGTGATGCTTGCTCTCAGGAAGTGCGCCCACCGTTTCTGCTAGCAAAACCGTTCGTCCCGCGATTCTCGTGCTACGATTAGCGACAGCCATCCAACATTAGGTTTCCCACACCACCACTACCAGCACGGCGACGGCAACCACTTGATTTAAGCTTCCGTGGCGCGCAAATTAAGGGAACTCATCCGATCGGAGTTGGAATTATCAGGTTCTTTGCGAAAGCCAAACTGGATAGCTCTGTTACCATGGACGGAGGTGACATCACCAATGGTGTCGGCCCTGTCGCCGTTGGCGATGGCCCGGTGCGCCCCGTGACGACCAGACAAGAGGCTACTGTAGGTTTCCGTCTATTGATGTAGCCACCTCCCAGTTTCGACAGCTAACGTAACCTGCGCTTATTCAGGGTTTGGGTGAAATTCACACGACGCCCCCTCGCGATCGGCCTCCGAAGCCGAAACGAAATAGTCGGGATATCTCATCATCCCCAACCGACCGCCAAGTTCACGACGACCATAAAGACGACCACACGCACGATCGTCATACCCATGCTGAGGCGCTCAAAGACGGGCTGGACGAGGATGGAAGCACGGTTAATGGTGTCGATCACAAGCCGAAAGACACTGGGTACCCGCGACTCGACGATGACGGCATTGAGAGCGACCGCGAGCGAGCCAGAGAACAGGCCTACCAGGCCGGCGGTATCCGATTTGCGCCGTGGAACATTCCCTACAGAAGACGACTTCAGACGCTGATGGTGCTCATACACTCGCTGAGCATCGCCACGACCGTATCCTTTTTTTTTTTTCTCTGCGCCATCCCGCTGACCTGGCCGATTGTGATCCCTTACCTTCTGCATATGCTGCTCTCAAAGGCGGCGACAGATGGAAGGCAGCGGTTGCGATCTGACCGCTTCCGACGCTCGTCCGTGTGGAACTTCTTTGGCGACTACTTTCCCGCGAAGCTGCACAAGACGCACGATTTGCCTCCGACAAGGAAGTACATCTTTGGGTATCATCCCCACGGCATTATCTCGCACGGTGCCTTTGCGGCTTTTGCTACCGAGGCACTGGGCTTCTCTGAGAAGTTTCCTGGCATCACCAACAGTCTGTTGACGCTGGACTCCAACTTTCGGATCCCAATCTACAGGGAGTACATTCTCTCCATGGGTCTGAGGTCCGTGTCGAAGGAGTCCATCACGAATATCCTAACAAGAGGGGGGCCGAACAATGAAGGCATGGGCCGGGCGGTGACTATTGTCGTTGGCGGTGCGCGCGAGTCCCTCGAGGCGCAGCCAGGCACGCTCCACTTGATTCTGGGAGAGAGAAAGGGGTTCATCAAGATCGCTCTGAGGACGGGCGCCGACCTTGTCCCTGTGCTAGCGTTCGGGGAGAATGATCTCTACGACCAGGTCAGCCCAAAGACGCATCCTAGGCTGCACATGCTGCAGATGTGGGTGTTGCGCACGCTCAAGTTTACCCTACCTTTCCTTCACGGAAGGGGCATATTCAACTACGATGTCGGGCTGATGCCGTACCGTCGTCCGCTCCATGTCGTTGTCGGGAAGCCGATAAAAGTGGCGCAGCAGACTCAGAACATCGAGCAGGCCGAGATTGATCGCCTGCATAAACTTTACGTGGAAGAGCTGCAGAAGATTTGGGATAGTTATAAGGATGCGTTTGCCAAGGATCGCAAGGAGGAGTTGCTGATTATCAGGTAATCTGGCGCTTCATTCCTACATTCATTGTCACTGTGCCCAGACGGGCGGTTTTCTTTGTATTTATATATATGTGTGTGTTTTTTAGACCTGTCTTTAGTTCCTAGAATCATACATCGTCATGATAGCAAGCGGCGTTTTACTGTGGTATGCGGTCACGGAAGGCAGGCACGGCAACGGGAGGATAAGCGGGAGGCAGCATAGAAGACACTGTATACACATGGATCTATTCAACAATATTCATTCATTTAATTTTCGCGTAGTTGTGAGCGGTGTATATACAATGACATGTGCTGAACGCCCAGCTACCCTTTAAGCTGCCCCGCGTTTTTGTCCCAGCCAGCGTTGGCGTTGGCGCTCGTAGAGGGCGCAGGGGCTCGTGATGCCAGGCACATGGGAAAGCTGGGGTGCATACCCCACACCCCGCCATTCGGTAACAACGGGTTCAACTGCAGGACTTAGGTACCCGGAACGCAACGGTTGCTACAAACGATAAAGACGGACATGACGGGTTGGCAGAAAGGAACAGAAGAGAGACGGGAAATGATAGGAAAAGAGGCATGGTACGGAGTCGCGGCACACTTGCGGCAGGGTGCAGTTCTTTTTGACAAGGGTCTGTCTTAGGGCCTGGAACGGCGGTGGTCGGTTTGCGTTTGATCACGAGGAGGCAAGCACGACTCCTTCCGCCCGCAACACCCGCTCACTTTGTTGTCGTACATTCTACCTGGCCTTTCTTTTCCCTTGCTTTGCGCATTGTTACTCTACAGGAGAACAAAACAAGTGAAATATACGAATAAAATTATCTGTTGAGCGTCCGTTTTGTCATGCCTCGGTCGTGCCCGTAACGACAGCGTCCTTGTGCTGCGTTTGCTTTCACGAAGCCGTTTTGCATACCGGCTTGTCTCACTGTCACTCACCTTGAGAAGCTCTCCGCTAATTGTGACCAGCATCCACATACAAAATCGTCGATTTGGGGGACACCAACGGGCTGGAGTTGGGAGCTCATGGCCGAGCACCTGGACTCTGACACCCTCTCCCCGGCTATACCACTCTCACCAAACGGCTCTGGTTGGGGCTGGCTCAATGGCAGACAACGATGGACCAGAACCCACCAGCAAAAGTCCCTCTCTCAACAAGAGCGCCGTGACTAAGGACTATGCATCCTGTGCTGCCAACAGCTCAAACGCCGACTCTGCCGAGAATGAGCTTGGTTCAGCATACGCTTCGAAACCCAGGCCATGGTTACGAGGGCATTACCGCAAGATCCTGGGGGCCGCTGGGTTTGCAGTGTGTCTAGCTGTCAGTCTGGTTGTGTGGCTGGTTGTTCTCCCCGGGCTTGCTCCGCAGGTAACCCCTCCTCCATCCCAGGTTCTACCTTCCCCTTTTCTTTATCTTTTACCCCTCTGCCCTCTGCCCTCTGCCCTCTTCCCAGTCAATCCCCTACTCAAGGAGCAATGGTCAAAAATGAATCGTCGGGTGTGAGACTCTCCCGCCGGGAATTGAACCCGGGTCCCGAGCGAGTCGCTCACCTTCACCATCTCCGAAGGAGACGATGGGTTGATGATGATGACAAGCTCATATACTAACCACTATACTACGGAAGATTGAAGGTGATCGAATCTTTTTCATGGGAGTTTGGCCCCCACGTAGAATTCAGAGTCTCGGATACCGGGAGTCGAACCCGGGGCTGTTGAGTGACTGGGCTCATTTCTCGTGAAAATGAGAGTCAACGATGTTACCGCTACACCATACCCGACTTGTTGTTGTTGCCGCGCACTCTCTCCCTCTTTCAACCCCCCTGCAGATCCTACCCCAATCCTCTAAATCACTGCACCTCTCCCCGTGTCTAGCCATTCTTCAATAATTAAATCATGGAGAGTTTTCGTTGCTAATGTGATGGCAGCCATTACCCCTAGGGAATCCCATCGTAGACCTAAACTACACCCGCTACATCGGCACCCGCATACCGAACGGGGTGAGTGTATGGTTGGGTATGCGCTACGCTGCTCCCCCGGTGGGGAGGTTAAGGTGGCGGGCTCCGGAGGAGCCTTCTCTGCAAAGAACTGGGACAGTTGAGTTGGCTACTAGCGTAAAGGCCCTTCATCATTTCCATCATGCTTTGGGGGGGTGCTAAAGAGTAGTAAAAGTTCCGGCCGATTTGTCTGTGCACAGGCAGCGGATACCCCTCGTACGGACAGGACGAGGACTGCTTGTTTGTCAACGTCTGGGCGCCTTCAGATGCAAGACCGGGGTCAAAACTGCCGGTTTGGGTTTTTATTCAGGGCGGTGGTAAGCTTCTCATATTTTTCTCCCTTTTTGATCCCGCACTTTTGTCCCTATCAAGCAACCCAACACAAGCCCCGAAAGTGGTCTGCTGACTTGAGGCAGGATATGTCTCCCTAACAAACGCAAACTGGAACGGCGCCGAGGTGGTCGAGAAATCCGGCGGCAACACTGTCATGGTAAACTTCAACTACCGCGTTGGACTTTGGGGTTTCTTGGCCTCTGAAAACATCCGAAAGGATGGGGATTTGAATGCCGGCCTGCTCGACCAGCGCATGCTTCTCAAATGGGTCAAGACGCATATTGCCCAGTTTGGCGGGGACCCGGACCATGTGGTGATACACGGCGCCTCGGCCGGTGCTGGCTCCGTTGCGCTGCATATGGTGGCGTACGGGGGACGTGACGATGACTTGTTTGTAGGGGGGATAGCGGAGTCGATATTCTTCCCTGCCCAACCCCCGGTTGCAGAGCTGGAGTATCAGTTCCAGCGGGTGGTCGAACAGACTGGCTGCGACAGCGCGAGAGATCAGATGCAGTGCCTGCGAGAGACGGATGCCGCGTGGCTGCAAGCGGCAAACAGGGCCCAGCCGTTCCCTGGCCGTGACGAGCCGCCGCTGCCGTTGTTCTACTGGACGCCGTGTGTCGATGGGGAGTTTTTGCAGGATATCCCGTACAGGCTGTTTCAGAAGGGAAAGTTTGTAAATGTCCCGGTGCTGTTTGGGACTACTACTGACGGTAAGCCCCCCTTTTGCCATTCTATTTGCTCTAGTTTTGACCCACCCCCTCCCCAACTTATTAACGTAGTGCCAGAGGGGAGTGTATTCGCCAGCAACGCAGCGACGCAAACCGACTTCGCGGCGTTTATGGCCAACAACTACCCCAAACTCACGTCCAACCAAACGGACGCCATATTGCAACACTATCCCAAACTGCCACCGCTACCGTGGCACGAAGAGTGGTTTCCCAGCGCGAGCCAGGCATACGGCGAAGCGACCTTCATCTGTCCCACCGTCAACGTGCTCAACACGCTGCAGCAGTCGGTCACTACGTATTTCAACGGGTCTACCATCATCCCTCATGTTTCTTCTGTCCCCCCCCCAGATCGTTCCGAACGTTCTGATATCCCCCCCTTCGACCTCACCACCTCAGAGGGGACCCAGAAACCTGTTTTAGATAGCAGCAGCGACTCCTCACTAAAATATAACAACGCTGGCTCTGGTGGTTCAGGTTCGGGATCGGCTGGCCCGGGACCCGGGATCTGGTCATACCGTTACAACGTGTACGACTCGGAAAACACAGCCGAGGGACTCGGCGTACAGCACTTATTCGAGGCGGCTGCCGTATTTGGCCCGGATAATATAAACGGCGCGCGGCGGAGCTACTGGACGTACAACGCGCCTATTGTGCCGGTCGTCATGTCGTATTGGATCTCGTTTGTCAGGACGTTGGATCCGAATATTTATAGGAGTCCTGGCAGCCCAAACTGGGAGAAATGGGGCGCAGATATGAATAGGTTGGTTATGGAGACGGGCAATACACATATGGAGACGGTAGGAAAGGGGGTGGAGGGACCGGGGGGAGAGGGAGGGGAGCTGGAGAGATGTCGGTTTTGGGAGGGGTTGGGCGGTGTTATGGAGCAATGACACACACTCAGCTCAGAGGATAGGGGTTGGGAGGTTGGGTTGTGTTTTGCGTAACGAGGATTGATGACTATATGATACAGAAGAATAGCTAGGGTGTTGGCATGGTTGCTATCATGATAGCATATAACGCAGATAGCATCATGGGCCTCACGAGCAGAGATACCACCAGTATAGGCAACCAAAATCTCGTCATCTCATAATACCGCCATGGCTCTATATAGTATGTGGTGTTACGCCCTCTCAAACACACTCTGATACACGGTAACCGAACTCAACCTCTGCCCCTGTGCATCCCATACCGACGCACATGGCACACACGGGGCCACTTTCTCTTTCTCTCCACCGCCAACCCCTTCCGCACCCTCCTTGTCCCCGCTCTGAACGATCCGTGCCAGAGGGTTCGGATAGAACTTGACATCCACATACCTCACCACAGCTGATACCGTCTCCGACGGCGGCTGGTTATCGTTGACATCCCCCAGCTGCGAGACCGCTTCCAACGCAATCTGGTCATGGCCAGAATACGCCGTGTGTCTTTGCAGCGACAGTTCCTGCTCGCGTGCCAAGGGTTGAGGTAGCTTCTCCGCGACGATCGTCTGCACGACATACACCTTCCGTTCCTTGTGGTGGATAATAACCTGGTGTACATGCGCTACTCCTTCCGGTGTGCTTTTATCAGAGCTGGGAATTGTCAAGGGAACCTGCCGTCTACGGACGGTAACGCTTCCAGCACCCGCCCGAGAAATGCCCATGTGCGCGTGCCATTCTACACCCGCCGCCCTGGGCAATTCAGCGACCTCGACCGCGAACACCGGTGGCACAACTCTGTTTGGGGTTGTCAGGACCTCCCGATCTGGCAGCTCTGCCACCGATGTCCTTGGGTCTGTGGCAGAGAGCGACATGTATCGGGGGTTGAACTTTTTATCCCACAGATCCGGCCCTTCATCGCCATCACTGTCCTGCTCCTGGGAGGCGAAGAGATGGGCAGTCTCCCATGCCTGGGCAGCCAACCCTGCCTTCCGCGACATCTCGACACCAGAGTTGGGCGTAGGGGAGTGTGGGAAGTAAGCAACGGCGCTGGTCCACCACTGCACGCCCACCTCTACACCGATCCGCCAGAGGTGTTGCAGTGACAGAGACAGCTGAAGTCTCAGTGAGTCATCACCACCGCCCGGGAGGACCATGGTGGCGGGCACGAGGGGTATCTGGCCCGCTATACTCACCAGCCGCACGCCATCCATCATGCCGTCGGTGTCAACACGGGCAGATGAAGCCAGACTGGCGGCCGGGACGGTAACCGCCTGGCTGTACGGACCGATATTGGCAGGCGCCCAGTACGAGCGAGACTGCACGTGCAGGCCCTGCCTCTGCCCATCTTTCAGGGCAGGATGGACGGTCAGATAAACGGCGATGTTGACCCCGGATCTGAGCGAGGGCAGCAATTGACCACACGCGACAGTAACCCGCGCAGGGGGGACAGGTGCATCGAAGAGCGCGCCGTAAATGGCGTTGATCGTAGGGAAGTCGGACATGCGACGGAGCACAATGGTCGAGTTGATGATGGCCGACGGCGGCAGCCCGGCACGTGAGAGCAGAGCGCGAATGCGTTCGACGAGTGACCGGGTTTCCGTCTCGATGGACGAGGACTCCCGGGAAGAGACATCGCCAATGACGCACCAGTGCAAAAGCCTGTTCTTGTTTTGGACTTGGAGACGGCCGAGATGTGGTGCCTCCGCCTCCGCCTCCGCCTCCACCTCTTCATTCTGGGCTGCCGTCGTCGACAAGCTGCCCTGCAGCGTCTCTAGCACGCTGACGAACCTCGCATCGAGAAGATCTGGTATTCTGACCTTGCCCTCGGCTTGGGCTTGCACGTCTTTGCTCTCTGTCCGAGCATTGCGGAGCATGAGCCATGCGCTGCCGCCGCCCTCCCTCACCACCCGCCGGTCTGCCCCGTCCACGACGATGCGCTTCCGGAACAGCTCTGCAGGACCGTCCAGGACGAGCGTCTCGAACTCGCCTCCTTCGCCGAGAACAGCCCCCCTGTCGGCCACCCCAAACCGACGCATGGACCTCTGGATCCTGTCCCGCCCGGCAATGCTGGCCACGTTTGTCCACAGCGCAGATTCGTCAAGACCGCCGCTGGCTACCTTGATAATCCGCGCCTCCATCCCGGCGACAGCCATGTCGGCAAGGAGCTGGGCACCGTCATCTCCGGACGGCCCCGGTGTGGGTAGGATAGGAAACTTCCACAGAAAGGCAAGCGGCACCAGTCCCAGACGCGTAGCCACTGATTCCACGCGCGTGCGCTGGTAGGTGCTCAGGATGGCGCCCGCGCAGACGGCGTTGGCGTCCGGGTGCGCGGCCATGACAGCCCGGAGGAGCGGCACCATCGACTCTGTCTCGTCTGCACGTGCATCTTGGGCAGCATTGCCACGGGCAACAACAGCCTTCCCAACTGGTGCACTGGCTGCTGCAAAGTGCGAGTAGTCTGTGCTAGTCTGCGCGGCACCGCCGACAATGGCCCTCCGATAGAGCGGGATACCCGTGGCGTCGGCGTAGAGGGGTATCGCTTGGTGGCCGACGGTCTGGTACATGAAGCTGTTGAGATCCCTGTCCTCTGTCTCCTCCTGACCGCTCTGCCCATCTGCAGCACGGTCCTGATGGTGATCGTCGTCCGA